GTTTTTGATTCAGTTGATGGGGGCGGGAACATTTATTTGCATTTCTAGCAATTCCCAGGGGATACTGATGCTGGTTATAGAAATAGTAGCTTCAGACGCATTATTAGCACCTTAGGAAATGCCTAAACCCCTGTTACTCGATACTGTGCTCTGACGATACAGAATATGGGGCCAGGTTTCAGTAAGTCAGGGTCATGGGCGACAGAATATCTGGGACAACTTAAATGTAGAAATAATCTCACAACACTTTCGGAGACCACTGATTCCAAACTTCTGCTTCCCAAACCTCTATCGGGGTTGCTTAGAAGCAAAATAAATTGCTTCCTTTTCCATTCTTCTCTTAGTTTCTACCCACCACTGATGGCAGGTAGATAGTTCTGGTCGACTGCAGGATGCTTGATGTCGGGATCATAAGTGCCTACTGGTGGGCAGGTGACTCCACTGGCTAGTGTGGCTGAGACATTCTGAGTGCGGGGCTGGCCCTGAGCGGTGTGATGGATGACCTTCCAGGTCATTATAGGCCTGGGTGTAGTCACATTCATGCCCTCATCACCTATACGCGCACACCCATGATTTCAGCACAGCTGAGGAGCAGTTCTATTGTGGGAAGACCTAGGGTCCTTTAACTCTTCGAGTCAGGTGAGTCCGCGGCAAACTGATAATCTTCGGCACAGCGCAGGACCCAGGCCATCTCTGACTGAGGTTCCTGCTGGCAAATTTCTCCACTTACGGCAGCTGCTCAGATTTGAAAGGTTTGCTCTGACCTTTCTGGTGCCACTTGTCTAAAGATTGCCTGCAAACTGCTCTGTGACAGAGGCTTCCTGCCAGTGAAAAACCATGACTGCACTTTACACCGTAATTGAGTGGAGACAGGATTTACCTCATTGGACCACCCTGCCTGTCTGACTCCATTTCATATTATTAAAAACAGAGACTTGGATTTTTTTTTATAAAAAATTTATTGAGATGATGCAATTATAGGCTTTTCTTTAAAAATTATTTGCAATTCACTGGCCCTGAGAAAAGGCTTTTTTTTTGTTTGTTTTTCTTTTTTGTTACATTCATTTGATTCAGTCCCTTATAAACCCCACACCTCATAAACAACAAGAGATTAGAAATTAAAAAAAAAATTCTAGATTCGTCCTCGTTTGCAGGTGGTTGCAGTCACAAAGAGAAATCTTCAAGAATGTTCACTTGGCATGTATGAAAGATTCGGGGAGTTTGTCGTTGTTTAGTGTTGATGCAGATGGGGCCCAAAGGGTATCAGGTTAGTCTTCTGTGGTTTTTAGGCAGGCAGGGACCATTGTCACCCCCCTTCCCACCCCACTCCCGGCTCCTTGGATCACTCCCTTCATTACTGTTCAGAAGAGAAACAGGTTGAGTGGGTGAAAACTAACTAGCACCGAATGTTTGGGCAAAGAAACTGCCTTTTGTTCTTTGTGTATTTCCCCCAATTTTTATCTTCAGCTTCCTGGGTGGGAATGGGTCAGATCGGGGTATGGCCAGGCTGGGTCCCAATCCTCATTCTGTCCCTGGCATGCCGTCTGCTCCTAGGACAAGTCACAGGACCTCTCTGATACTCAGATTTCCCTTCTTCAAAAGGGGAGCTAATGTTTCAGACATGTATTCAGAGTTGGATCCTAGGCAGTGAATGGCGGAGGAGGTGTGGTTACTTAGGCATTTAGGTACATCCCGTCAAAGCCATTTAAGTTTCTGCTAAATCTACATTCTCACTTGGACCAAGGTATCAGTGTAAGAAGATGATGGAGCAGGGGGTTCCAGACATACTGCTGAAAAGAGAAAAAATCCATCAGTTGTTACTCCTCTTTTCCTGTGGGGATACCCCCGCCCCTCAAAGGATGTGGAACATCGGTGATGCTACCTTAGGCACGACAAAGTTGCCTCGGGACAGAAAGATCTTAGAGATAGCATTACTTCCACGTAGCCCGTCCAGCCAATTGCCACTGCTGTCTTCTGATGGAGAGGAAGCACCCTGGTTACCTCAAGGTGCAGGGAAGAGTAGACGCTAGAGAATTTCAAGGTACAAGTGAGACTGTCTGCCTCGGACCCAGGTGGAGGCAAGTTTGCTCCCCTGCAGCATTCTTCTGAGTTCTCCTTTCCCAGTTTCTCATTTTGCAAGCCAAGACCTCCCACGATGGCAGCAGGGAAAGGCCAACTATTCAGATCATGGACGTACTTCTGGTTTGGTCCCAGGTGAAATTTTCGTCCCCCCTAGTGCTTAGTGTTGAAGTGAGAAATTTCATGCTAGATAGATTCTGCAGGTAGGAGATACGCTCTCGGAGGGCAAGGATGGTGCCCGATTCTTGGGAATCTCTCGGGGTGTCTAGCAGGTGCTCCATCAAAGTTGCCTAAATTGAACCTGAAATCTTTCAGGTCTGCAGTGTGTAAATGCTGTATCCCTGGTATCGGCATCACTCAGGTATTCTCTCAGAGAACCAATGAGAAGAACCTTTGCCATTAAGGGAGTGAACAGAAAACCAATAACGGTAATATCTGGATGGACAGTGAAGACTGCATTGGAATTGCCACCTTCTATTTCTTCAGGTGGCTGAAGGTGTCGGCCTAAGTCTTACAGACTCTTACAGGATATTGCTTTAAATACAGAAATCCTGGGGGCAAAGGGGAATTTCCCCTCCATAATTCAACTGTAAGATTCTTTGGACAATAAGAGCCCGAGTCCTTAAACCTGGGTGAACGGAATGAGATGCTCTAATCTTAGGGAAGAGCGACATCGTGCCTGGGTCTCTGGTTTTATGTCACACAAAGAGAGCCTCAGTAAAGATCCACCCTTTCTCTCCAGCCCTGCAACTCAATGGCTTCACAACACACCAGGTATTTGGCTTAATCTCTCCATCTGAGAGCCAACATCAGTCATCTCGGAGGCTGGAAGATCATCAGTGTGTGCTATAGAACGCTCTGGAAAGACAACTGTAGTATGCTGGGATCCAGCTGGATTTCATCCCCGTTCGAGCAGACTGAACCCAAACCCTTCATCAGGGGACACATAGAAGGTCCCTGACCTCACCGCAAACCCGACCTTCTGGAAGGTAGAGTGGGGGGAGTGTGTGAGGGTGGGAGGAGGCCGGCCACCCCTGCGCCTCTATCTGTGGTTGGATGAGAGGCGGGAGCGTTTCCAGTGTCCTTGAGCGAGAGCCTGTTTGTCCCTCCCTCCCCGCAGGCTGATGTCCTCATTAGTGAGGCTGGGGCTGGGGGAGGGGTGGAGGATTCCTCCTGCCCGTGTGACCACAACCCCTGCCTGCCTGACTCACTCAGAAATGGCCTGAGGACATGCCTGGGCATCTGGTGGCTTCACCTGGAGGGGGGGGGGGGGGGGGGGGGGGGGGGGGGGCGTGAGATGCTCACCCAACTGAGCAGAGGAAGCGGAGAGAAACGAGGACGGGGTGCTTTGTAAGGGAGGTCTAATCTTCGTGAGTAAAAAAAGACTGTACTCCTAATATTGGATTCCGAGCCTGTATTGGAAGAGTCGATTTAGATTTAGATGGCTATTGAAAAGGAAACCCCTCCCCCCCAAACTGCAACAGCTTTTGAAAAATACGTTATCATCAAAAGTACTAAGGGGTGGCACCTTCCTCATTTTACAAGATACTACTGACCTTATTTTGAGGTGACATGGGTCCATTCTGAAACAACTAGGAAAGAAGAGGGTAAAAGTAAGGTATCTGAGGAATTTCCCGTCTGCCCAGGCATGGCAAACAAACACCAGTAACAACTGAGACGACACACTCCAGGGTCCTCCCCCTCAACCTGTGTCCTGTGGGGATCAGGAAACTTAAAAAAAAAAAAAAAAGGCTGGGAATTGAAAAAAATTTAGGTGAGGGTATGAAACTGACTGCACGATGGCCTTTGGGATGGAGCAGAGATGACCCCCCATAACCTACTTTGGAATAATTCATAACCCACTGCAGAAGATCTGTCACCTGGACCATCAGGCCTGTGTGTTGTTTTTTTTTTTTCATTTTTTTTCCCCACTTCGCAGCACTGGCAAACTAATCCCAAGATGCTGGGGCTTCCAAATAACCTGGACAGCCTTCCAGGCTCATCTTACGCTCTGTGGAACCACCAGGCCCCGCGGTTCTCACAGCTGTGAGGGGAAGCCTGCCGGACTAGCATTCATCTTTCCGGAAGGCAGCAGCCTCCGTGATGTTTCTGGCCTCCCTCCGATAGGTAGCCAAATGCTGGGATGTGGGTTTGCTTTTTGTGGTGCAGGCTACAAAGCACCCAGACCACTGATTCCGTTTAGGTGCCAACAATTCCCAAGATTCTCCAAAGAGGCTGAACCCTGCTGAAAGGCATCTGAAATTCAACAACAGGCAAGGAGGGAGGACGGGACGGGGCAGGGAAGGAAAGAGAGCCAGAGAGAGAAGAAGAGAGCTCTCCTTTTCAATTTATCGTTTTTAAAAGCATCTTTTTTTTTTTTCTTTTTTTTTCCAGCCAAGACCCAACAGCAACAGGAACAAACCTGATCCACGTGGCAGGGTCAAGAGAACCTGAACCCTTTTGTAAGTGTTCTCTCTCCTGACCAGTTGCGCTTCTGCACTTTGTGAGATTTGCAAAAAAAATATATATATATAATAGATATATATTTCCATAGGAAAACAACCTCGATGTCTTCCCCTATATGAATGATGAAAAGTCAAACTGTATGGTCTTAAAAAAGAACAAAACCAAAAACACCATGAAACTTAACAATAGGTGGAACGGGGTGGGGGAGGAATTACAGAAAGAGATTCCAAATGAGAAGGGACCATGAACATGAGTCCCAGGCTGGTGCCCTTGGCCAGAATTCCAGCGCCGCCTTTGCTGAGTGGTTTGTCTAAGGTGCTCCGGGGTCCCTCACGCTGGGCGAGAGAAGTGTCACTGCCATGTCCGGGTCTCTTCCCTTCCGCTCCGTCACGCCCCAGCCATCCTGGCGGGCAGGGTGCCCTTGGCTATCGGCCCGCTGAGCCGGGGGCTGGTTCCTTCAACACTCATCTTCTTGGTATATTTGTTCATCCAGCTCCTGGGACTCAAGATGCTCCAGACGGTCTGTTCGGCCACTCATGATTTCATCTGGGGTTTTCATAAACCTTTGGAAGAGGAAATGGTGGCGTGAAGAGGTTACAATTTCCTAAAGTTGTCTTTACCTTGATCTCTAAAAAGAGAGTTCCCGTTGCCTTCACATAGCTGGAGAGCTACTGAACCTGGTCATAATGCTAACTTAGCCCAAATTAGAAAAAGTTACCCCTTCCTCTGACTGCCTGAAAGTTGGCAAAACAATGATAAACAAAAGTCTAGGATGACTGTGAAGGAGGTGGAGCCGTGTGATGCATTCCTGCGTGACCATGCGAGGGAGCCCTGGGACAGCACAGGTATCTACATCTCTGATTTTCAGAGGGTTAGATTTTACAAAGACCCGTGAGCGCTGTATATCCATTTCCATCCCAGACTGTGAGCCCAAGGAATGGTATTCAAAACTTGAATCTAATGCGAAGGATACAATTAAATGCTAGGTGGAATATCTGGGGAATAGGGCAAGATAGTGGAGCTTCTGGAAATTAGAAAGGCCAAAAGAAAGAATCTTTTTCAATGTTATCACTGCTCCACCCCAAATGCTAGCCATTCATCCCCTTTATTCTGTCTTCCTTTGCAGCTAGGTGCAAACAGCAAGCCTCATCTTCTTGGTCGCTGGGGTCATTTGGAAATTACATCAGTGCCATGTTTTGACCATGACTTACATGGTTCAGGAAGGGTGCCTGGCTGCAAACGTTCTGTCCTTATGGTGGGAGGGCCCTTTCCACAGCCTACACACTGTTCCCTTCCTCTGCTCGGTACCACATGACCTGTCTTAAAACATACATTTTCTCTCATCACTTCACGTTCAAAAGCCTATGATGAGGGACTTCCCTGGCGGTCCGGTGGTTAAGACTCTGCACTTCCAATGCAGGGCGCATGGGTTTGATCCCTGGTTGGGGAACTAAGATCCCACATGCCTTGTGGCATGGCCAAAAAAACAAAAAAAATCCGGTGACGACCACTTATCAGGTCAAGGATCCACTCTTTGGGCCTGCCCTTCGGGCCCCTCTGTCACCTCAACCCGGAAACTCTTGTTTTCCACTGTTTACTAGCATGAACCCTTCACTCCAGTCTCGCCAGTTCTTTTTATATCAATCACAGCTCATGCCATCCTCCAAACCTTTAGCTTTGCCCTTATCTGGAACCCTCTTGACTCCTTCCACTATCTGAGCCCTACTCACCGTCTGGGCTCTGGCTCGTCATCCATACCGAAGTCTCCAAGAGTCCCTCCAGTCTAACACTTCACTTGATCACACACTGGGTTTTATACAGAGAAGCCTTCATTTTGGGGCGAGTCTGGCTTCAGACATTCATTTCCTCAAAAATGACTAATCTCTCCTCACAAATAGCACTCTTCTTTCCTTTTATCTTGTTGCAATCACTGTGGGAAGCCTGTGAACCTTCCACCTACGACTACTTTTCTTTTCTGCCCATTATTGCTGATTTTTTTTTTTTGGCCATACGCGGGCCTCTCACTGTTGTGGCCTCTCCCGTTGCGGAGCACAGGCTCCGGACGTACAGGCTCAGCGGCCATGGCTCACGGGCCCAGCCGCTCTGCGGCATGTGGACTCTTCCCGGACCGGGGCACGAACCCGCGTCCCCTGCATCGGCAGGCGGACTCTCAACCACTGCGCCACCGGGGAAGCCCCTACTGCTGATTTTTTTCAAGCAGTCTGTTCCGTAGCATCTGCAGCCTGTCTTCCACTTTTATCCTGGAGCTAACACTTCTCCCTCAACATCTGAAGTCACTAATAATCCCTTCCAGGCCGAGTCCACAGGTGTGCTATATCTGGCCCTCCGAACTACCCCTATCCTCTTTTGACGGCTTTTCCATATTAAGTTTCTGATATTCCACACCAGGCTTGCCCAGAAACATTTATCAAAAGCCTCCATAAGGTATAAAACAGAACGATATATATATAAAATATAACCCTCTACCTTCTAGGAGCTTATGACCTACTTGTTGGGGAGAAGGACTTCATATATACAACTATTAAAGATGTAAATCACGATGTGGTTTAGGGCCAAGGAAACCCAACAGATGATGGAAGAAGGTATCTGTGCATGTCTGAGCAGTTGAAGAAGGTCTCATAAAGGGTAGTAGACTTGAGGTAGACCTGGGGGGTATATATGTTAAAAAAGCAAAAGTTAAAGTGATGCACATTTCTGGCACAGGGAACCCTATTAGTGTTGGAGGGCAGCTGGCAGTGTGATTATGAATTTGGGAGGCAGGAGAATGGACCAGAGGCAGAGATTGCTGAATTAATCTAGGTATCAGTCGTTTAGTCTAGACATCAGCCTCCACTGCCAGGGAAGCAATAATAATGCTTCTGCTTTGCTTTCATCTTCCAGGTCTCGTGAGAGTACTTGCCATTGGTAGATTCCAACCTGGAGCCTGCTGGTAAGAAATCTTGGGAAATGTGGTTCCCTGGCTTCTAGCCCCTGAAACATAGACTGGAGTGGGAATGGTGCTGAGGAGCCAATGGACTGTCCAGCACGATAATGACTCAGTTGTAAGAAGAGTCAAAGATAACTCTAGTGTCAAGGTTGGTTACTTAAACAATGGTGATGCCACTGCTGATGTAACATTTATTCTGGGGGTGGGCAGATTTCCAGTATGGGAAGAAGGCCTGTCTTGAACATCTCATGTCTGAGATACTAATGTGATATTTCAGTGGACACGTCCTAGAAGAAGCTTTTGGAAGTTAAGATTTGGAATCGCAGGGAGATTTTAGAGCTGCATGTAGAGATTTGAGAGCCCATTCATGGAGGTGATAACTGAAGCTGTGTAACGGGACCCATCCGTCCAGGGAAAAAGTATAGAGTGGGGAGGACAGGAACCAAGGACTACGTTTAGGGTGAAGGATGAAAAGAGCCCATCAGCAGAGCCGGAGAAAGGAGGGTTCTTTTTCCACTTTATTCTACTCTGTTTCCAGCTCTTGAAAAGCCTTCTCTGTTTCTTTTGAAGATCGCAGTTGTGTTTTTACTGCTCCTACGTTACCACACCTTTCCAATGCTAAGGCCCAGGTTCTCTGCTCTTTCCAATAAGTACTTATCCCAGTGAGCTCGTCTGCTCATACACAGTGTCATTTTGTCGTTTTCTACCCAAATCCACATCTCTAGCCCAATCCGTAACTCTCCTCTGTCCCACCTGCCAAAATGCGTAGAACCTGAGGTCGTGTTTGTCAGTCCCACCTTCTCCCAAGCTTCACTTGGTCTCACCACATCAATTACCACCAGTGTCAGAGAGCTATGTCTACCTCTCCTGACTGGTCCGTTAGACCCCTTCTTTTTTCCTCTTCTAATTGTTTCTCCTCTCTTGCCTAGGGAATCACAATCTATGTGGTAGGTTAAATGGTTGGAACTCATTAGCTGGGAGGAATTCTGGAAAGAGGCCTGTCTACTGCAGCAGCTTTCAGACTTTTACAATGCATTGTCATAAATGTATTTTACATCACGACACACACACACACCCCCCCCCGAATCACAGTTTTCATGAATCAACAGGCACTCTTAATTCATGTGATACAGTCTGATATTTTCAACTCTATCCTTTCCTATTCAGTTCTGTTCTATTTCATTTAAAAAAAAATAGACTCATTAAATCTATTTCATGATTCACTAACGGGCCAGGACAAACACCGGTCCAGGGTTGGCAACCTGGAGGCCTAGGTTTGTTTAGTTCCTTGCTTTGCCATTGGTCCCTCTGATCGCTCCCTTTAACTACCATAGATATAAATGCCAGATAATACTGTTTGATCATTGCATTATTTGAAAGGTGAGTCAGATTGTGTTTATTTAGTTTTGGCTTTACTCTAGGTTAGACATAAGTGGAAAAAAAATTTTTTTTTTTCCTTAAATTCTAACAAACCACCACCTGGTATCGAATGTGTAGCGGTGATGGCTTTGAGGATCAGATAGGCAGGTAGAGATCTTAACAGTCTCCCTCCTCCCTCTTATTTGAAGAAAACAGTATCCTCCCAGAAGAAGGAAAGGAGAAAAAGGAAGTGCTACCTGAACAAAAGCCTTTGTCCTGGCTCCTTCCTGATAATGTTTAGTTTGTAGTAGTGGCGCAGGGCTCTGGACATTTTCTCATAGGTCATGTTTGTTCTGTTCTGCTTGTTCAAAGGCGGAAGAGAGAAAAAAAGCACAAAGACACAATGAAACGAACCTCAGAAAAGACGCTGCAGGAGCTATTCAAATCTGCTTCTGTGGCCCCGCCAGTTGGGAAAGCCACCTGCTAGTCTGCTCCCTGCCACGCCCACCCCTGGGCTTCTTTACAGACGTCCTCGCCGAGGTTTCTCCTAAGGTGAGTCTAGCTAACAAAGCACACATCCCGCAGTGGCCTCCCCGACTTCCTCTGCCAGGACTGCGCTCTGCTGTGCCCGAGGAATTTCCTGCAGTTTCCCCTCTCTGGGGGTCATCCTTCACCTTCTGACCCACAGAGGATTTCTCTTCCTTTTTTCCTTTTTTTAAAAAAAATTTTTTATTTTTACAGCGACCTCTCTCAAGCTTGTGTTTCTGGTTTGTCATTTTAAGGAAGAGATTTTTTTGTTTAAATTCCTGTCATGGAAGCAAGAATACAGTTGTTCCGAGCCCTGGGGTGAGGGCTCCCTGCGCGAGCTGCAGAGCGATTCTTCTCAGTGACTCACAGGGTGGATGGTGTCAGTGGGGTATGGCCATATTTGGTCACGACAGCCTCTGCTAGGTCCTCCACAGCGGGGCCAGAGCACGGGCTGCCATCCTCCAAGGCTGCAGCCAGGGCAGAGCTCAGCGGTGTCTCCCCTGTGGCCTGCCTCTCCTTCGGCGGATCTGGAGTTGGGCCTTCCTGGTGCCTTGCCACCTCTGCCCCACGGCTGCCTGTCTGTGGTCAGGCCTGGATCTTGCTGACTCTTTTTTTTTTTTTAAGTAGGAATACAGATTTATCTTAATTTTCTTTTCTTTTTTTTTTGGCAGGGGAACTCTTTGCTCTGTGCATTTTACTTTATTTTACTGTGATAAGAACACTGACCATGAGATCTACCCTCTTAAATTTTTAAGTGCATAATATAGCACTTAATACAGGGTTCACTACAGGTACAGTGTCCTACAGCACATCTCTAGAACTTACTCATCTTGTTTAATGGAAACTTTATGGCCCTTGATTAGTAACTCCCCATCTCCCCCCTCTCCCCAGTCCCTGGCAACACCAGTCCACTCCTGGACTCAAAGAATTTGCTTATTTTAGCTCTAACTTTGAGTAAGTGGAATCAGGCAGTATTTGTCTTTCTGTGACTGGCTTCTTTACTCAGCATCACGTCTTCAAGGTTCATCCATGTTGCCACGCGCTGCAGAATCTCTTTTTTTTTAAGGCTGAAGAATATTCCATTGTGTGCGTATAGCATGGTTTCTTTATCCATTCATCCATCAGTGGACGTCAAGGTTGCTTTACCCACTTTTGACATCTGTGAGCTTTAATGGTTTTCCTAACTATAAAAGACTTTATCTTTTAAATTCGATTCCCTCTTCCCAAGGTGGAAAACTGCAGGGGCCATCAGACTTCTTGCACTGTTTGCTTTTCAAGGAGATGCTTTAAAGTCAGAGGATAAGCATTTTCCACGTAGAACTGGGCTTTTGCGACCATGGAAGTTTCTAACCCAGCGGAACAGAAGCGACGCTTCCCAAAGCCCCCTTGTGAGTCACAGAGTGCCACAGTGCATCCCTGGTACCCAGTTCCTAATGATGGCGTGGGTGGCAGGACCAGGCCGAGGCAGAGGAGTGACGGTTACTCGTAATGAGGCCTGTCAGGCCGGAGACTTAACTGGCACCTGGCACAAGGAACAAATGGAAAGGGGCATCTTTAATGATTTCCTCCCCTTTGCAACTAATTGTCCAGTGAGGAATAAAGTAAATAATTACGGGCAGACAGGAAGCAGAAGACAGACAATTATCCTTCAACCCAGGGATGAAGACTAGATTTTGGCCCTACTTTATAGAACGAATATCTGATGCCCTTTTACCTTATGGTTTCCCCACAGTCGAGCCAGTCCATTGGGATCCACTATCCGGAATATTTTCGATTCTTTGTCCTCCCATCGGATGAAGTTTTCGTACCGGCTGTCAGAAAGCAACTGATAGACGTAATCCCAAAGCAGTCTACAGTCTACAGAGGAAAAGGGCAAGAAAACACTGTTGACAAGGTTGCTTGCTGAAGTACTAAGAGCAAGAATCAGAAAATAATCGAGTAACCGCTCTTGCCTCCTTTGGATGGATTGTCTGACTTCCTCGTTTGGGGGATTCCCTGGCGGTCCAGGGGTTAGGATGCCGCACTTTCACTGCTGAGGGGCCTGGGTTTGATCCCTGGTTGGGGAAATAAGATCCCGCAAGCCACTCGGCCAAGACGAAAACAAAAACACATCCTCGTTTTATAGTGAGGAGAGCAAGGTACAGAGAGACCTGTGAGATGGCAACCTTTGACCTGTGGAGGCCTTCAGGACTGTCCGGGCCCGGAACTCCCCCGCTCAGATGAGGACACAGAGACCCGGAGAGAGGAAGGGACTGGTCCACGGTCATGACCAATGACCTGAACTTGAGCAGAGCCCACAGAAGGGACAGAACAAGCTCTAACTGCAAATGAATTGGTTCTGAAAAGGGGCTGAAGACACACTGGCAGGTCAAAGGGCAAAGAGTATGCTCGTGTTCGGAGAGAGCAATGCGGTGTCAACGGCGGGGCACTAAAGGTTACTTTGGAGGGTGATACTCAACGGATAAAGACGTGACGATTGAGGCCGGCTGAAAAATGGCAGAAAAAGAAGCATGATGCGTGAAAAGCTGTGGGGGAAGAAGACCCCTGTGGTTTGGGGCCTGTGACCGTGGGAACCATGGCCAGCATGGTCTTCAGAAAGAGTATAGATAGTCCCGTTATAGCTCCTTCGGAGGTTTTAAAAATTGCTTTATTATAATGGAATCAGTGTAGAGAGGAACCCAGTGCAGAGAATCCCTTCCTCCATGTGCAAAACTGATGCTGGATCACTTGGTCGGGCAACAGATCTGTGTACAGGCCAGGCGCTGGGCTAGGCCTCGACTTTGGGCTGTGGATCGGCAAATTGAAAGAGAAGCTGCAGGCTGCACACCTTTGCCCTGTTCTAGTGCTGTCTGGATTAGTGCCAGAACCGGGTGTGGCTTGGCTCCTAGCACAGCCTTGATAGGTGGATGGGAGCGGATGTGGACTTTCTAAGTCTAGTTGATGCAGGACTGGCCTCGACCCCCAGGTGTGCTTCTGAGAGCTTTGATGAGCCCTAGCCAGCACGGCTGGTCGTAAACGATTAATTTTGTTGAACACTGTGTATGTGTCCCGCACTTTGCAAGCGTTATTTCTAATCCTCACTTTACACACTGCATCCTTTCTAATCCTCTCGTGCCCGAGGTCGCCGGGATTTGAACTCTGGGGCTCCTGCACCGCTAGGTGCCGATTTCCTTACTTCCTTATGTTGGGTGAGGCCTGGCACACCTGGGTGGGGAATGTCCAATCCCAACGTGGACTGTTTCAGAGCGAGCCAAACATTCACCTCCCAGAGAATGCAACACGCCCTCCTCTGGTACATATTTACAAGAGGAAACGAGTCAGGTCACCTTGGGCAAGTTTCTTAAATCTCCCCGAGGTTCCGTTTCCTCCTTTATGAAAGGGGAATAACAACGTCGACTCTCTCCAGGATTACTGTACGAGCGATGATGTGAGTGAAGAGAAAGTAAGGAAGACAATAACAACAGCGATTACTGGGTGCTGTTTGCAGGCACCGGGCTGTGTGTTCTACCAGCCGGCTTGCCTCTGACCCTTAGGGCACCTCATGAGGCCAGCGCTGTTGCTGTTCCTATTTTATGGCCAAGGAAGCTGGGGCTTAGCGGGTTTGGTCATTGGCTCAAAGGCACAGCTCGTGAGTGACACATGTCGGAGTCTGGAGCCCGTGCTGTGCCACACGTCCTGCGCTGAGACGTCTATTCTCAGAGAAAAGGGTTAACAGGTAACTATTAGTCAAGGACTTTTCCAAGCAAGCTTTAACTCCGAGTGTGTCCTTCGTGCAATCCAGCTTTCTCGCTGAACAGCAGAAGGAACTGGCATAAAATGTGGCATTTTCCAGGAGGCTTAATCTTTTAAGGAACTAACCATGAAACTTAAAATGACCATACATCTTCAGTACCCCTTACTGTATCCTTTTTCCCCCCGATTGAGCTGTGTCTAAAAATTAATGTGACGTGTGGTTTCTTCTGTTTCGGAAAAGGACCCGTGGTGTCCTTCTTAGAAGGACGACTCCTGGAGCCTGAACCCTACGCTAAGAGACGCTGACCAGAGATTCTGTTACCATCCCTGCCTGCCACGGCCCTCTTGGTCGCCAGAAGGGGGCACCGAGGAGCAGCAAGGGGCCCAGTCCCAGCATCAGGAAGCACCTTGAGAGGTGAGTGCCACACACCATCTCACGCTGAGAATAATCGAGCTCATTTTTAAGGCACTTGTAAGAGGGCGACTGTAGGCAAAGCAGTGAAGTAGGCAGTGTCTTTCTCCCTCTCTGCCACTTCCTTGTCTTACATCGTTTTTAGTACAGGTGGAAAAAGAGAACTGAGATGCGGTTTAATTGTCCAGTTTTTGTCTTACTGTCAAATGGCAGATGCATTTTAATTTCCCACAAGCTCTTGCAAGTAGAAACCATCTGGCAAGACCAAATATCATCACACAAAATTCCAGTCTACTAGGAGGAACAAAGGGGTAACAGCTTCTCCATGTTTCCTGACAGGGTTACAATCATTTTACCACCAAGAGGCTTCATGACACCTTTCGGACGCATCTGGATTGGCAATGTGATTCTCTAGAGTGAATCATTTGAACACAATTTAATAATTAAACAAACTGATCTGGTTGTCTTTTGCAGTTTGATGGAAGGAACTTCTGCCCACCGGAAGGTGAGCAATATATTGGCAGTCCCTCACCTCTAAGACTTCCTGGAGCTAAAATGCAAAGTGAGTGTTGTCTTAACACCATCTGCTGAGGGATTTTCACTTTCATTGTTTCTGTGGCTTCTCTTTTTACTGCTTTGGACATTCTGTGTCTCATAAAATGGTGAAGTGCGAACCATTTTCCGTTGGTTTGCACTTAAAAAATGGTTTCCATTTAAAACCATTTTACCGTTTCTCAGAGTAAGGGCTTAACCAGCGCTGGGTACCTACCATGCTGGTTCTTCAGAGGCATCAAACCGAGACCTTTATGTCGTAAATCGTTTACTGAAAAAAATCTAGAATGTGATCTGTGTTTGGTTGGTTGGTAAATGAAGGGCAGGGCTTACCAAAGAACAGACTTTACCTATGAGTTGCAGGAACACTTGTATCTTGCAAACTTTTCCCTTTCAACAATGTGAAAATAACCCCAAACAAGGAGCCAAAATGACATTTAATCCAGCGAAGCCAACTTTAGCAGAGTAATGAAAATATATTGACATTCAAGACATACTGAATCAGTCACTAGCAGAGGTCGCAACAGGAATTTTGTGGCATATAAAGTAGTTGTTTCAAGCTCAGAGTATAAGTGGCTTTTTATAACACTATTGATTCTATTGTTTCTTTAGTTAAAAATTATGCCAGATGATAAAAAAAAGAAAACTGCCTGACCACGCAACTTTTTTTTTTTTTACAATCGAAGTTCAAGCCATGTGAGTTATTTTTGTTTTTTAAGATTTTAGTTAAATAAAAGGCAGATGCTTTTTAGTTCCTAGGTCCTCTGGAGGCTGTTGCCATGACCCACCAGCAGTTTTTCAGCTTTATCAAAATCCATCCGTGTCTGCACAGATACAGTGTTTTCTGATCATTGATAAAAATGCTTAGTACTATATAATAAAATGCACCCAAAGTTCATCCCATTACAAAACACTTGAACATGCATGTGAAAAATACCTTATATTACAAGGTCTTCACTAATTTTAGCTGCATGTGTCTTAAACTAAAGGGCCTTCTCTGTCAAGGCATGTGGGAATTTTAAACAAATGTTCATGATTTGGATGTCTCTTCCACGAGAGGAAGCTCATGAAAGGGTTTATTAGCTCGAGTGAAGTGTTATTTTCCAATTGCAGAAAGAGAGTTCTCTCTCTTTCCTGCTGGGTGAGGTACCCTGGGCATCCACAGTTAAAAGGCATTGTTAAAAAAAAATGTATATCCCTTCCTGTGGTTAGGGAGAAATATTTTCCCTCCCACACCAGTGTCTTATCAGAGACTCCTCTCCTCGTACAAGCTTATTGAACAGAGACTGTAAAAAGATGGGCAATTCACACATAACCAACATGGTTTCTAAAGGAAAAAAAAACCTAGAAAACCATGCTAGACAAAACTGATGTTGAAAAGATCTGAGTGGGCAAGTCCAGTTATTGACAAGTTATTTGAATTTCCCAAAATTCAAATTTCAGGAAAGCATCTAAGAAATAAATTTTGTTGTTGTTTTAACTGCCCAAGTGGAATTTTAAATGAAGGTCTGTAAACTGGAGTTCTGTGGATATAATCACCAACAAGGAGAGGCCTAGTGTTCCTGTTTCATTGCTTTAAATTTATCATGAAAAACTAATAAATTTATTTCAGGTTCAGCAACAAAATGGGTCAGTAACACCCAAAATAAAAAGTTGCTTCTCTGCTTTATAGCAATGGTTCTAAACTAGGGGCAATCTTGCCTCCTAGGTGGTGTTCTACGGTGTCTGTGACAATTTTGGTTGTCACAACTGGGGTGGAGGATGCTATTAGCATCCAGTGAGTAGAGGCCAGGGATGCTGCTAAAAATCTTATAATGCACAAAAGAACTCCTCCCCGGCAACGAAGAATTATTTGGCCCAAATATCAAGAGCGCCCAGCTTGAGAAACCCTGCTTATGGAAGCACGGGTTTTACAACATGCAGGGGGGCTATCTGCAGGGTTTTTTTGTTTTCCTCCTCAATTCTAGAGCAGCTATTGCCTAGAAGCAGAAAGCTGATACATCCAGGGCAGCCAACCCTGTGTTGATACGCAGAGGTGTGTTTCCAATGGGTGCTTGCTTGTGCTTTGCTGTGGCATAGGAAAACGGAAGCCATATGTGCACAGCAGCAAGCTGGGAGAGGGAGAAGCTGAGGCAGAGAATACAGACCTATGCTTCCTGGCTTCGTCGGGGCGGAGGGGCTGCAGCTGCAAACAAACACCGCTGAACCTTTTCACCTTTGGTTGCAGGAGGTGTGGAGTGAGGCTGGGAAATGCAGAGACCAAGCTAAAACCTAGTAAGACGTACCCCTCCTCCCTCAGGCGTGGAGGCAGACTGCTGGGACATAGGGACGCTGTTACAGAAATGCAGGCCCATAAACAAACTGGAATTTCCAGTCTCCTCAATCCCCTTCTATTATTTTCTACTGAGTTACTGTGCTGGTACTGTTTTATCTTTTAAAAAAGCTGTCCTGAAACTTTCCTTCTCTTCTTGATTTCTCAGTGGCTCACCATGAAAAATAAAGTGCAGTGACTCAGCCAGAGCGTGAGAAGTCCGGCACCTTGGGATATTCCCGTCGGGGAGAAGGGGTGAAGGACTCTCTCCTCTCCAAGGGTCCCCGCCATCTCCTCCAAATACAGACGGCGGGCAAAGCCTCAGAGGAGGTGAGCGCGAGTGAAGAAGTTCATCTCCAAGGAAATAAGGAAACTAGGGTTCCCTGAAGGGGTGCACTTTTCAGGCCAACATCACTTAGAACAAATGCCCAGACACAGGCCTTGTGGGTTAAGGCCCTGCACCTGCTCCGGTGGGCAGTGGTGCTGGCCATAACCACGGCTCTCTTCTCTGCAGTCCTGGAGCAGAGCAAAGAGAAATGGCACACAGGAGGGACACTAACTAAGCCTTAGAAATTACCCTGCTGTGCTAATGTTTGCATATTGTCTCTTTAGTGCTCAAAAGTGCCCAGAAACGAGTATTAGTATTATCATTATTATGGGTAAAGAAACCAGGCTTCAGGGACCTTAAATACCTCTGCTTGGGAGACAAGGGCTAGATTCTAATCCTGTTGACTCCAGAGTCCATGCTCTCCCACAGGCCCACAGTGCTACCTCAGGAACCCTCCCGCCAGCTGTGGATGAAGGGCCTGGGCCAGGAGCCATAGAGAGTTCTCTGCCTGAGATAGCATGGGAGGACACTGCTCCGCCAGCTGGTCCTAAAGCCCCGAGCCCCCCTGGCTTATGGAGACGTCCCACGATCCTGTCCTTTTTTCCAAACACAATATTTACACGCGCGTGTGTGTGTGCAGAGGCGCACACACGCATGCTGTACACCGCCACACCTTGCTGCAAAGGCCTGGGGATGACACTGCCCTCCATCACTCACACAGTTCATTTAGGCTTCTCGTTCATGATGTCTTCTTCCCTGCAGGGCTGCTCCTGAGGCTCATTTATACAAGAAAATAAAAGTCCACGTGCCTCATTGGAAACAGTGTCACCATCAGATACCACTGGGGAAGAAGCAGAGATGGATACAAGGGGGCAGGGTGCAGTGTTGACTCCCCCCGGCCTGGGAGCCCTGAGGATGAGCCCCTAGCTGCTGGCCCTGGAGTCTCAGGCTTAGGTGCCTGCATCTGATGTCAGATCAGAGGCTCCCAGGATTGAATTTCTGTGTACACAGAACTCATGCGGTCAGTAAAACCGAATCAAGAGTGTACAGTGCTCAAGCCAGGTGACAAATGAGTGTCTCCTCGAGGAGAATCCTTTTGTTTCTATTAAAAATGTCACCCTGAGAGATAATACACATATATTTTTTTTCAGTCTCTTTGAGGATCTGAAAGATTGCCAGGCCAAGCGTTATCAGAGGGTTGCAAGTGAAGGGTACAGGGTCTGGGGGTGGGGTGTGGGATTCTGTTTTATCTGCTTTTAAGATCCACTCGCCAATGATATCCTCACAGACCGTGAAGAAGTTGACGTTCGCAAAGAAAATCAAGAGACTTAGGCAAGAGTTGTGAGATGAGCACAAGAGAAGAAATACTCTCTTTCTGGATGGTCCGTGGACTTTGAACAACCAAACCTGTACAGACCTCTTAAAGTCCGCACTTCTGTGGAGCAGATGAACGGCTACGAGTGGATTATAAACCAGGTTGCCGCTGAATCTTCCTCCCTTCAGCAGATTTTTGGATTAAGTCCAAGGAAGGGACACGCAGATAGGAAGTCTGGTAACTCAGGTTTGAACAGAATTGAAGTTTAAGAGAAAGCCAAAATGACTTCAGTTTTTTTCTTTGAAAACTGAGCTGTCTATACAGTGAGAACCAAAGCAGGGAGCATCGTTTGTCTGATGGCATAAAGTAAGAGGGATTATTGCCTTGTGCCAGCAACGACACAACATTTGGCATTTAGAGATGCTGCACCCTATCACCTAGAAAAATGCCTGGCACACAGAGATACGTGTTAATTTTTGAATGAATAATCTTGACATAGTTCAAGTGTGCAGAGCTACACTTTATTTTCCTCAGCTGTATTTTACTTATGTTAATGATGTTACTGTACCTATTCCGGGCTACTCGGCCATCAGCCTGCCATCTAGAACTCAGCTCCTTCCTACATCACTTGCCACTGTCCCCTCCGCGTCTTAGGTGTGCCTCATTCTCTGAGGTGCGAGTCATTCCTTGAGAGCAGGGACGGCATTTTCTACACCTGTGACTCCAAAGCATCCTGAACATACAAGTGGACAGTTGCGTAGAACAGGGAGCGGTGGACTTTTTCTGTAAAAGGCCAATCAGTAAATATTTTAGTCCAATCTCTGCTGCGACTCCTCAACCCTGCCGAGGCCGCCGCAGACAATACCGAGTGAGTGGGTGTGGCCGTGTGCCAGTGAAATCTGATTTACAGAAACAGGCGTGGCTGATTTGGCCCACAGGCCTGCATTTCCAGTCCCCGGTCCCAAGGAAACAAGTGTGCTGGAAAGAAGAGTGGTTGAAGCTGGAGGCTGAACACTGGACATGTCTTCATCTGTAAAAGACCCTTCTAGCTTTGAAATCACCAAGTTCTAAGAATTATTTTCAACATATACTGAAAACACAGCATCACCTGGGCTACCCTTCTTCAATTTACGGCGCTCACTGCCAGTACCACTCTTTGGCTATGAAACAGGTTGGCGAGACACAGGCCAGTAAAACGTTTGTGGGCTGAGAAAATGTTAGGAGGTGACAGATGCTCCCCCATCCCCCTGCCACCAAGCAGTCCTTTCCTGAGGACAATAAATAGAAAAGAGCACAGAAAGAAGCAACTTGCTCAGTGTTGCACATACCACTGGCTGTTCAATTAAAAAATAGAACCCAGGAATCTTCTCTCACTCTGTCCTATGTTAAACTCTCTCCCACAAATGCCAGCCCTTGCAGCTTGTTAAACTCAACAACAGTCCTTCTTCGTCCTTGAAAAATAAGCAACACCTTTCAAGATAAGCTGTGTGTTTCTATTTCAATTTGTGGTTTGTGTTTAAACTGTCAACTACCTCCTGGATTTCTTTCATTGAATATTTTAGATTTTCCGCCAGGTAAATATCTAAGTGAACCATCATAACGTTGCATGGGGCCTCTTAATTGTGTGATGCCTCCCAATTTCATAGATACTAAGTGTGAAAAAAAGAAAGAATTGCTAAAATATGGTGGATTTTTTTTAATGAACCTGGATTCTTGACTTTACATTTCTATCTGAAATAGAACAGATGATATACTAGGCCTTACATTGTTTTGGGGGTTTCTCCATCTGGAATGACCTCTTTTTCTTTAATCTCCACTTGTCCATATTCTAAGCATTCATCTAAGCCCAGCTAAAAGCCAGCCCCTCCATGGAGCCTTCCTGACACCTCTACTCCAACCTCCTACAGCACTTAATCAGAGTCCTTGGAAGACACCACAGGCTGCACTTGTAGCTCACTGTCTACAGCTGTTTCATGACGGAGACTGTGTCTTACATCTCCTGGAACACTCCACACCCATGAATGCAGAACAGTGCTGTAAACACAGAAGGTGTCCAAAGGCACACACCCAGGAGTACCTGAGCAAATGATGCGTGATTTACTTTTTGATCCACATGCATCAGTAGTGTTCTTACGCACATCCTCCAACTATGGTATTTGCCAGTGTGACACACAGCGGCACCTTCAGTGCCCTCTGGGCTCATTTGAAAAGCTACGTTTTCCCATATAAAAGCTGCTTTATAGAGATCTGAAGGACTTTTATGGCTGTTCAATAATGACGGAACTTTACATCGTACATATGAATCACCCAATGAATTCGACTTCCAGTAAATGAAGAATCAATTCTACGAGGATCTGAGTAGTCTAAAAAGACACCCAAAGGGTTGGAGTGGAGAGACAGGGACACCCCAAATGAGAAACAAGCCTGGAACTGTGATGAGCACTGTTCAGAGGGTCACAGCATCAAGACTAAATGTCAGATCGTAGACTTCTCTCTCGTTTCACCCTTGAGAAAAACAGTGCCTTTTGGTTACATCAGCTAATCCTGGATCTGGTTAAATTAGCGAATACAGACATGTGGAGGTTATGGAACTTTTGAAGATACCAATAGAGTAGCACAGTTTTTAAGAGAGCCATATTAAAAAATTTCCAGACCTACTAAACCAGGGAAAAACAGCTCTAAGCCTGAACAATTTAATTTGATACATGGGGCTTATCTTGGATTCCTAAGAAGTCTGTGGCAAAGACAGCGTCACAGAGGAGGTGGACAAGACAGATCGTGATTAGGAATGCAGGGGTAGCAAGGGCAGCCCAAGAGACAGCAGCCAACGGCGCGGCAAGGGCTGTCCTGCAGCCTTATCCGCCAGCCCCTATGTGACCTCTGCTTCTCTGCCGTTCAGTTTCCTCTGTGGTTTCCCCTGTAAACGACCCTACCATATAAAATGGATAGAGCAATGATAGGCTACCTCGAAGAGCTATTCTGAGGATTATAAACAAGTAGAAAGTATCCACAGAATGTCCAGAACTGTTGCACAGACCGTGCAAGAAACAAGCAGGGCGTATACAGACAAGAAAGAAAGCCTAGAACGTCCAAGACAGGTCATTTATATCATTCACAGGAATATACTGGCCCCTTCCTCCTCCAGTTATCTGGGGAAATGCACATGCTTTGCCACAATAAGCTCTTTGCTACCTTATCCCCGTCCTTTCTTTTCATAGTTTCCCTTTTTTCCATTATTAAAAAAACCTTTATGTAAAAGTAGACGGAACAGTAATGTAAACCCCGGTGCACCCAACACCCAGCCATACAGCCATCAGCTTGTGACTAACCTTATTTTATGTACACCCCACCCGTTCCTCACTCCTAACCCCGTGGGATGCTTTTGGATCACATTCCAAGCATACATGATTTCATTTTTCATAGTGTTTTTGAAACACGTCATAGCTCTTGGCCATTTGATTTTCTTGATCCAACATTCCTTATGTAAGTTATTTATAATGATAAAATTGCGGTGACATTGGAGGTGCCCTTGGGACCAGAGAAGAATTTAGAAACAAATGACTTAAATAAAAAAGGGATGAGTCAAGGCAGAAGTAAAGCAGCCTTAGGGCCCGTGTCGTCATGGTGTCGTGAGCACTGCTCCAGCCTGAGCTTCAGCTGGACCTCGCTCCTGCGGCATCAGCCCAAGGAGGAAGGGGCACGACTCACCTTTCCCTGAACAGTTCTGACCTCTCTCCTGTCTCCGTGTCTCCCTCCCATTACTGGACCCATAATCACCTTCAGCATCGAGCTACTGCCCTTCCTCAGTTCCTCCAGTCAAAATACCCCTTCTCTCTGCGCTGCTTCCACGGCACTGAATTATCCTCGCATACAGTAAGTACTCAATAAATGCTTGTGCATTGACTGGACGGGGCAGAGGGCTCATTTCCTTCTGCCTTGGAGCTTAGTGGTTTTCACATCTGTCTCTCCTAGTAAAATTTAAGTCCCTTGAGGAAATAAGTGTTATATCAGCTCCGTGTCCCCTACTTCCCAGTGCATTTATCTGTGCACAGCAGGTGCTCCAAAAATGTCTCGTGAATGGAGAGAAGCTCTAGGAAAAGAGTTAACTTTGCCAAGAGGTTAGAGGATTATAAGCTTCTGGAGAATGACTTCATGTAAATTATGGGTGGGCTAGCAAAAATACAATGTGGTGATTTTTTTCACTGGTTTCCACTGGTTTCTCGTCTTAGGGGAGTAAATTTGGGCTTGTCAGCATAGAAGGGAAAGAATTCGGGAGTGGTTTCCTCTGTCCAAATGACACAGCAGCACCAGACTCCAACACCCTAATCCTGCTTTTCTCTCCTACCCCCTCCCAAGGTGAAGGCTACGTGGAGTTGCTGTGCAGAGGATGGAATTACAAGCCTGCATCTGAGACAAAGGTTCTTTATGCTGCGTCTGCTCGTTAATGAGCCGCTGGAAACTTCGGGACAGGGCCATTAACATGCTCATAAACCTTTGATTTCAAATGTTTTTGTTCAGCCGCGATTCTGATGTGACTCCCCTTGTAAGCTGGATGGAGGACGTTTGTTTCTTAACACTTCCGAGGCGCATAACTCCTCCAACCCCGTGGCTCATTAACTAGCCCATTAAGGATTTCGCCTCCTGCAGGCAGAAGCCTCCACTTGGCCTCCCAGAGCCTCGGAGGGCACCTAATTGGGACAGTGTGAGGCTCCAAGGAAGCTCGAGGCAGGAGTGCGGCAAGGGGAGCGCTCACTTACCTGCTATCCTCCCGATGGGCATGGCGTGCTCCTCGGGCGGGGAGACGGAGACCATGATGTGGTTCATGTACGCCAGGTCTTCCCGATGGGAGAGGTTGATGGGTTTCCCTTCCCGGTGCAGCCCGTCCTCGGAGAGCCGGGACTGCTTGAAATCCACGGAGTGCCGGGGGTTCAGAATCAGAGGGTGCATGATGGGACTGGGCATCAGCTGGATCACCCGCGTGCTCTCCTGCCGGGGGCTGGAGGGCTTCTGGTGGGGCTCGGAGGATGGCGGGCAGTGATTATTCTCCATGGGAGACACTGACAGGGGGTAGGACTCCTGGTGGTTGTTCTCCTGGTGAAGCCTCGGTCCCTGGGCCCTCTCGGCCGGGGAGAGGCGGCGGATCATGTTGTCCAGGGGGGACCGGAGGGGCCGCTGCTCGGGGTCGGGAGAAGGCCGGTGGTTTGTCGTGATGGGTGACCTGGAACGGTGCAACAGTTCAATGGTGGGAGGGTTGTGGTGTACATTCTCCACCGACGGCTTCGGGGTCCTCTGGACACAGTTATCTGTGGAGCAGAGGGAAGGACAGTCAGAGACCCTGATGGATGGCCAGGAGAGGGACCTCACTGCGGTCCTAAAGGTGGCGACCGTGGAGCACATGAGCTTGCAGGAGCACCTTTCTTCCCGGGACGCAGGCTCTTTTTCACCGCTTTAAAAAAATTAAAGTGCACATACTCGAAATTCTTTTCCTGCCAATGGACAAGCAAAAAATGTCTACAAACATTCCATTAATCACCTACTAGTGGCTTATAAACACAAGGAAGCCACACGTTCATTCTTTATCTTTTTGTTACTCGACTCTTCGACATGGCTTTTAGGGTCCTTAAGGGTTTTTCTCTAAATGTTTTCACTGACTTTTCATAACCCAACTTTCATACTCTCTATCTCCAGGAGTTGTTGGTATTAATGATAACAATAAAGCAGTTACTATATATCCTACGTACTGGATTATATTGTTTAAAATTTATAACACACCTAAGCAGAAGATACCAACTACTATTACTCCTGTTTTAACAGGAGAGAAAATGGAGGCATAAAGAAGTTAAGCAACTTACCCAAGGTCACCCAGCCAGTTAGATTCCAGTAAGATTCTAGAACCTTATGTACCCATTAGAATATCTACTTCTCTGCTATGTAGAAACTAGGGCGGGGGGAAGTCACATCAAAACCTGCTCTAGGGCTTCCCTGGTGGCGCAGTGGTTGAGAGTCC